TGAGGCGTCACTCGGGCTTCAGGGTCTAGACATACCCTGAACCCTAAACCCTGAAGCCCTAAACGCCAAAGTCTTAAAACTCCCCTAGAACCCCATGGAACCCTTGAAGGAACCCTTTAGGGAACCTTTTAAGGAACCCTTATATCTACCCTTAACCCCTAAAACCCTTCAAGACCGAGCCCAGCGCTTTGGCCACTGGCGTAGGCCAGGTGGCGGTTCCCCATAAGTGGAGACCGCTGATCCAACGGCATGAAGCCTTGTTGCAGTGTTCATGCCACGACCCTGACTTTAAGGGCAGTTTCAGGAAAGATCGGCGATTGTAGTTGGAGCCGACACAATCCTGAGAGCCATTACAGTAGAATGCAGGGTTTCTTTGTTTTAGGAGAAATATATACGGTTTTTAGTAAGTCCCCGCATAAAGGAGCTGAGGACCCGTCGAGAAGGTGAATGCCAGGTCTAGCGTTGCACGAGCAGGGCTTAGGACGCAAGCCTTTCCTGCAACGCAGATGAACGAAGGATAACCAACCTTAAACTGGCTTTGACAAGGCGCAAAAATCCATACCCTAAGCCCCTACGTAAACTCCTAACCTTTAGCCCTTGAACCAAACTCAAACCCCTAATTAGGCCCCAAACCCTCGACCATAAACGCCGAACCCTGAATCCCGAACTTAACTGGCTGGCAGCCTCCAAGACCCAGAACTTTACGACGCCACTTCCAATTCATGGCCGGGATAGTATTAAACATCCACCTGTGAATTCCCGAATGGGTTTAAGTAGTAGTAAATATGAAAAGTTCTACCCGAAGCACAGGTTCCCTATAGAGGCTTGTGCACCATGGGTTTTGGGTCCTGGGGTTTAGAGGTTTTGGGGTTCAAGAGTTTAAGGGCTTAGGGTTTGGGGGTTGGGTTTAGGCCCAAGGAAGCAATAACCGTGCTTTATCACCGAGGGTGCATGTACCATTTGAGTATACACTTTGAGAGACACCAAAATCCCTCAAGCACGGAATATGGCTTGAGTGGGCCAGCCTGGGGGCTGTCATTCTGTCATCGTGCCGTTGTCCTGGACAAGCGCAGAAAAATTAGCACAGATCGGACCAAAAGGCCCCATGACAGACCTTGGTCGTGCTGTCATAGTGCCCCCTGAGCTCGACAAACAATGCATGTATGACGAAGTTCGGCCCATGACAGAACGTTGTCATGCTGTCACGCAGTCCGGTGTCCTCGAACAAGACGAAAATGAGCACAAATCCAGCCCCAGGCCGAGGAATGACAGAATGACAAGGCCTACCCCTGTGGCAGGGCGTAGGAGGACAACCGAACAATATACACTGTAAAGCTAACCGGCCAACCCCACGTCTCTACCCGGAGGAGCCTTCTATTTGTGGGCCAGCCTGTGGGACTGTCGTTCTGTCATTCTGTCATCGTGCCGATGTCCTGGAAAGGCACAGAAAAACAGCACAGATCGGACCAAAACGCCCCATGACACGCCTTGGTCGTGCTGTCATAGTGCCCCTGAGCTCGAAAAACAATGCATGTACGACGAAGTTCGGCCCATGACAAAACGTTGTCATGCTGTCATGGAGTCCGGTGTCCTCGAAAAAGACGAAAATGAGCACAAATCCAGCCCCCGGCCGAGGAATGACAGAATGACAAGGCCTTTCCCTGGGGCAGCTGGTGGGGCTAGGGTGTGGGAAGGCAGCCTAGTAGGGCTTAGGGTGCTAGGGGTTCGGGACGCCGTCTCTACCCGGATGAGCTTTCGATTTGTGGGCCAGCCTGGGGGCTGTCATTCTGTCATTCTGTCATCGTGCCGATGTCCTGGAAAGGCGCAGAAAAATAGCACAGATTGGACCAAAACGGCCCATGACAGACCTTGGTCGCGCTGTCATAGCGCCCATGGGCTCGAGAAAACAGTGCATGTGTGACGAAGTTCGGCCTATGACAGAACGTTGTCATGCTGTCATGCGGTCCGGCGTCCTCGAAAAAGACGAAAATGAGCGCAAATCCAGCCCCCGGCCGAGGAATGACAGAATGACAAGCTCCGGGCTGGCCCAGAATTAAGTGGCTCGCCCGGGTATAGACCAAAGGCGTGACAGGAATGACAGAATGACAAGCTCCGGGCTGGCCCAGAATTCAGTGGCTCGTCCGGCTGCAGGGCAAAGGCATGTCAGGAAGAATGACAGCCCACCCGCCTCGGGGGGCGCAGGCAGTCGGTTTTGGGCTCAAACTTTGTGGATTTGGGCCGTTCACGACGCCTGCAGCATCCAGAGCATCAGCATCCAGAGCATCAAAACGGGAACGCGGCGTGGGGCTTGGATCGCGGCCGGCCAGGGGGCTTGTCATTCTGTCATTCTGTCATGTGTTAATAATAAACAAAAAATAGCACAAATTGGACCCAGGTGGCCTATGACAGAAGGTCGTCGCGTTGTCATGGTGCGCGTGGGCCCGAAAAACCAATTAATTTGCGGCGTGTTTCGCCCCAAGCGGCCTATGACAGAACGCCGTGGGGTCCGGCGTACCAAAAAACCTATGAAAATGATCGCGAATTCAGCGTCCAGGTGGCCCATGACAGAATGACAGAATGACAAGGCATCCCCCGGGGCCGGCCGCCGGTAGCCAGCGGTGGGGACAATCGGTTTCGTAGATTTTGCCCTTTTTTGCTTGCTTTGCAGATGGGACCGTTCGCGGCGCTCGGAGCATCCAGAGCATCAAAAAAAACGCGTCCAGAACATCAAAACGGAGCGTTGGGACTTGGGTCGCGGCCGGCCGGGAGGGGGCTTGTCATTCTGTCATTCTGTCATGCTGCCCGGCGTTCCGGAAAAAGTGCAAAAGCAACACAAATTGAACCCAAGTGGCCTATGACAGAACTTCGTCGCGCTGTCATGGCGCCCACGCGCCCGAAAAACAAACGAATTTGCGGCGAGTTTCGCCCCAAGCGGCCTATGACAGAACGCCGTCATGCTGTCATGGGGTCCGGCGTGCCAAAAATCATCAAAATGGCGGTGGATTCCGCGGCCAGGCGGCCCATGACAAAATGACAGAATGACAAGGCCCCGGGGGCCGGCCGGTGGCAACCAAGGAGCGGCGGTAACAGCCAATTTTCGGCACAGATTTGCTTGTTTTTGCTTGCTTTGCAGAGGGGGCCGTTCGCGGTGCCGCAGCATCCACGGCTGGCGCGTCGGCGCAGCTACCAGGTGCGACTTGAAGTTTGGGTGGGCTTGAAGCATTTGCTTGGTTCCTAAGAAGTCCCGCCTGAAGTCCGTAAACTGAGTGGGGGGGTGTTGTACAGTATAGGGTCTACAAAACATGCTTTACAAACCCCTGCAAAAAAGAGGCCTTAACAATTAGAATAGGCTTTTGGGCACAAACATTAACCCGCCCCTAATATGAAAACTCCCGGCCCCTGAAATTGTGCGGTTTCGGGCGCATAATTGGAAGTTAAGCAAAAACATTAGGGGGCTTACGATTGTATTGGTTTTATAACCCGCCCTAGTTTCTAAGTCCCATGATCTTCCAAGTATTCCAGTATACAAAGGGACTACAAGCGGATACTAGCAAACACTCCGACCGCTACATGAACCAGAGCCGCGTGACATGACCTGTAGTGTTTTATTGTCCTGGTCGAAACCAGCCTTGTGGATAATGTCACGTACCTTGGCAAGTCTTCGGCTGGGGCGGGGGGTTTTTAGGGTTTAGGCTAGAAGAGGCCCCCACCCTGCAATAGTCGCATAATAGGAATATAATAGGGCCTTAATATAACCCTTACAGTCACTATTACAGGGTGGGGGCCCCTTCTAAGGTTTAGGGGGTTGATTTGGAGGTTTGGAGTGCAGGGGTTGGTGCTTTGGGAGCGAGAGAAGACTGAGGCTGGGGGTGTGGGAGGAAGAGGGCTTTCAAAGGGGAAAAGGAGGGACCCTTAATGGAGACCCCTACCCTCTAATGGGCTATATAAGGGGTATATAATGGTTATATTAAGGGTATATACCTAGGGGTCCTTATTAAGGGTCCCTCCTGTTCCCCTTTGAGGCTTGAAAGTCTAACCCCAAAGGGTCCTACGTACACATGCAATCGCCAAAGAACCCCACGATGCCCAGAGGTACCGCTCGCACGCGTCCACCGGAGACCTGAGCACTTTTCGTTTTTCCTGAGCCACCGAATGACGGTCTTCGACTGCGCCGGCATCAGCTTCCGCCTTGAGCAAACAGCCGCCAACTGCCACTCCCGTAAGGTGTTGCAGAGTTCTTTCTTGTCGAGTCAAGTCGGTGCACTGTGGGACCTGTAGGTCCAAGGAATTCAGTAGCTCTTCAATGCAGTTCAGCAAACGGAGGAAGCTTCCAAAATAGTGCAAATGCAACATCTCAGATCAGATATGACCGTGTTAGCCAGAAGGCCGCATGCCACAAGCTCCTCAATCCCTCACTGATGCACGCTGGCGTCTGCTCTGAGCCCTCGACCCGATGGGCTGTCGTTCGGGAGACTGTCGCAAGATGTCATTTCTGCTGCTGAGGAGCACCGCCTGACCAGGGGCACGGAGTCTGAGGCTCCCAAGTGCTAAACAGCTGCGTGGTTCATGGACCAGGACCTAGGGGAAACAAACAAGCTGGTGCCGACAAGGTGACAGGGACACTTGCGCGACTTGCGGTCAGCTGTGCACAGCTGAGAGACTTGGTCTCGTTTGCGTTGAACGGTTCTGCCAGCACACTTTACGAACTGATTAGGCGTTCCCAGTGTCGAGCCCGTCTCCTGGCCTATGGCAAATCCCGGAACCCCGGAACTTACAACGCCAAGAAGCTGAAAGCCGAGGAACATAGTCCGTGCGATGCATGTTCAAGCAGGTTCCACTGCAACATGGCTGCTCTTTCGAGCACTAAGCTTGCATCATAGATACTCGCTAGAAGCGTAATGAAGCCTATCCAAGCCCAGCGATCTTTTCTACCAGCATCCCAGGCAGCCGGTCCTCATAATCCACGGCAGGCCAACCTGCCGATCCCTTTATAAGCTCTCTCACTGCACGACGCACCCGTCCTTCATCGCTGCATCGGCCAAAACACCTAGCATGGCGGCAGCCATCACAGTGTCACTCTCCATCCCTGACCTCCTGTGCATCATGGGCATGGGCTGCATGGGCTGCATGGGCTGCATGGATTGCATGAGCTGCATGAGCTGCATGAGCTGCAATGGCTGGAGCAACTTCTGATCCTCGAGCTTTGCGATTTGCAAATGCAAGCCGCTCTCCTTCTGTCGCAATAGCTGGAGATCCCGTTCATGGCTTGACCTCATGTCAGCCAGCTGAGTCTGCAGTTGGTGTCTTTCCTTCGATGAGGCCTGCTTACCGTTCTCAATCTTGGCCTCCAAGTCGCGGACGCGCCTTTCCTGGTCCTCCTGCATCTGCTGCATTTCCGACTCAGTGCTTTCGAGCCTGCTCTTCAGAGCCAGAGAGATGTTTTCCTCCAAATCGAGCCGATGCACCATCTGCCGCAACATCTCATCATGCTTGTCTTCCGTCTCTTGCAACAGTTCTTCGAGGGCATGTTTTTCTTTCATGATGTTCTCCCTGTCAGTCTCATGACATTCATTCAACATTCTTTCCTTTTCGGCATGCTGCTTTCGCAGTGACGAAGTTTGCTCTTCAAACTCCAAGAGATGCTGCTGCTGAACTCGCGCTCCCCAGTTCATCACATCGCAATCAACTCCCATGTTCTTGTTCGTGGCCAGAAGCTCTTCCACCAGGTGCATGATGTCGCTCCTTGTCTTGCGCGGTGGCCACCGCCAGAATGAGCTGTCAACACCAAGCACGCGGCTGCCAACTTTGGATGCCATGTCGCGGCCCAAGTTGCCGTCGCGCAGAGCTGCCAGCTCCTTTTGAAGCTTGTCAGTGCTCTTGCATGTGTTGGTAACCACGAGCATGCCATACTTGGCCACTGCCTCTTTTCCGAGCACGGTCTCGATGTACTTAATGACTGCTTGGTTCTCCTCGGTGAAGCGCCCGTTCTTCACGACAACGATCACTGCGACCAGGCCCTCCTTCGCAACATCGGCCAACTGCTGAAGAGCCGTCATAACCTGCTCATCAGTCAAAGTGGTGTCAAAAAAGCCGGGAGTGTCAATCACACGGTATCTGGCGCCGTTGAACTCAAACTCTTCATGCTGCACCTCCCGTGTCACACTGGACATGGAATCACCAGACTTGAAGGCTCGGGTTATTGCCATCTGGTTTGCCAAAGTTGACTTCCCTGCACCAGTCAAGCCAAGAAGAACAATGTTGCGCACGGAGCCGTCTGAGATCGTACACTCTCTGAAGGCTGGTGCCGGGCAAAGCACTCGCTGCGGCAGCTTTGCAGGTGGGACACATGGCACTGGTCCAGGTGCATGGGTCTCACAACGCCAGTGCTGGCGCGGGATAGCAAAAACCACCGGGGCTGCAACCACAATGGGCCGCGCACGCTGCAGAGCACGCAAAGTCGACTGTGAGGTGCCCATGTCGCGGCAAGACGGCACACGGATCACCGGCAAGCACCCAGTCAGAGTCTTGAGCTCCACTGCTGCATCAACATGACCAGGGTACATATTAGTCGAGACTGCTCGGTCGTGCAGAAGAGGTCGCAACCATGGAGTCCTGCACGGTGTACAACTTTCCAGCTATCTGATCCTACTGACAAAACTCAGTCCGTCGCTGGCATACTCCGGCCTTCGAGTCATCGAAGATGCGAAGTGTGATCGGCCTCAAAAAAGCAGGCACGGTTGGACTCAGTTGGGCCTTGATAGCATGCAGCATAAAACATGTGAGCTAGAGACCGAGTTTGCCGCAGTCGGCCAAGTGTACTATGCACTCAATCAAGTGCTAAAGCCAAGCCGTCGTCGCACAGGACAGCATGCAAGGGTCACTTCGCCCACAACGCAACAGGTTGGAACAACTACCGCGATGAGTGCAATTCTAGTCAACAGCACGACCAGGCCGAGTATCTCTAAACTTGAAGCACGTGCATTGCCACACAAACTTCGCGGTCGCGGGAGCTGAACATGGCAGTCGCTACGTATTTCAATTAAACCCGCATAAAGAGAAATCAGAGGAAGAAAGAGAAAGAGACAGAGGGATGGCGAGAGTGTACTTAGTTGCACCTGGATCTCATAAATGGGACGGCATATCGCCGAGATATGGACAGAAGTTGTGGTCCAGGCCCACCATGAGGATGCGAACGCAATCCTCAAAAAAGCCTCAAAACCGAAGCCGCTGGACTCCAGACTTTTTGTGCAGACTTCAGGCTCGCAGCACGGCTGTGGGAGCAGGGTCGACATGGTGCTGCAGGTGTCAAAGGGTTTAGGGGTTTAGGGTTTAGGGGTTTAGGGTTTCCAAGGCCGTGAAGCCCCAGAACTTGCGCATGTGGCAAAACCTATGACCAAAGGTTTGCTCTTGATGCTGTGATTGATTCCGTGGCCACGTGTCAAGATTTTCAGGACTGCGGTCCTTGACACGATCGGGCGGCATTCGGCAAAGAAAGCGTCATCGTGGACATACACCGTGCCTGACCAGGGCTGAGCCTCGCTACGGGGCGCAATGCACGAGTCGGGTAACCCGGTAACATCTGTTAAATGGCTTGCAGCAAGGTTGACACGCTATCGTCTGCAAGCATGGAAAACATTCACCGATCTCTCTCTAACACTCGCTCGCACAGGAAGGTGCACCCCTACGAACCCAGAAAGCGCGGCAGGTGATAGGACAGCTCCCCTTCGCCTCTCCTAGGGAGGCTTGACCTCAACACAAGGGGACACACTCAAGGAGGGACCATACCGTCTAAGAGTAGAAAGCACTCTGACACACTGAACGAAGGCCTGAACGAACCCACAAGATCCGTTAGTTGCTCCGGAGTGGACTTTAGGCTTCCAGGAAAAAGGGGCTTCAACATTTGGGGCTTAGGGTTTTTATGGTTTAGGTTGTACTGTTTAGGGTTCAGGGGGGCAAGGTCAGGGATTCGGGATTTCAGGCTTAGGGTGTTGGGTTTAGGATTTTGGGTTTAGGGCTGTGGTCTCTGAACTTGAATCCGGACACCCACCGAGCAGACCTCTTTCTCTAAGTCGCAGGCAAAGCCTGTCGGGTGGCTACAAAAGCACACGGGCTGCTTGGCCGAGAGTGCCGAGACCAACTTGAACCAAAGCGCTGAATCTGAAGATGATACTGCAAAAACGCTACACAACAACCAAGTACAGAATGCGCAGACATCCGCACATAGTCGTGCAATAGCCCAGAAACTTCGTATCATGCCTCAGAAAAATGCAGAGAGAAGGATGTATCATGATAAAGAGCCACATAGATTATTGCTTGTGTTGAAGAAATATTGGCCTGCAAAAGATGATGGCATCTCAAGTCTCAAGCAAACAGGCAACAGACATTAAACTCAAAAATATGGGCTACAACTACCATCCCTTCTCACTTGAAACACTTCCTTCGTGCATGTCTGATACACGAGCTTTGTCGGACTAACTATTTGACAGGCTGTTTTTCCGCATGGTCGTTGGTGCCTTTGGAGTGCAAATGGTCTCTGAGGCACGGCAGCAGGGAGTTCGATACCCCCAGGAGCTGCGATAAAGTGCCACATCGCGAGGCCGCACACTTCGTTTCTGTGTTCTGGGGAACAGATCCCCAAACCCTAAAACCAAGGGAGCCTGACAACACGAAAAACTCACGTCCCCAACAAGTTTCAAAGCCCAGCACCCGTTCGACCGCAGCATCAAATTATCATCTCCGAGAGAGGAAAAGTCGCACCAACTGGGGTTTGAGGTTTTCTTGGGATTAGGCTAGGGGTTTGTTTGAGCCCTCAACCTCGAACCCTGCACCTTTCAGAGGAATCCCCAGACAGACTCCATACTTAGGGTAGGGTTTCGAGTTTGATGACAGAGGAATCTTAAGGGCTACAGTAAACCCGAGGGCCTTTGGGTTCACAGGGTTCAGAAGAACGGGGATCCATCTCGTACACACTCCAAGTCTTGAGCATCAGTGGGCTCCTGAACGGTACATGTGCAGGGGCTGTGGCCCCGTATACGATGCTAATCAATCTGATGCCCAATATTCCCTAAACCGGGCTGCAAGGATTGGCGGCTTAGCGTTTTGCGCCGCATTTTGCCCGTGCACACACAGGGTGGCTCTAGATAGCTTGGGTAGCTCTAGATAGCTTCTGCTACGGCTGCCTCGAGCGACTTTCCGTTCCCTCGGAATGCTATCAGATCCCTTTCTCAGGCCTCAGGCCCACTCGCGGCCTTTGGAGCCCGAACGGGGTCTGATTCAGCACGTTCATCGTGGCTGGAAGGCCACAAAAACAGACCACGAGCCGCTCAAGGTTGAGTCATCTGCACCCACAATCCACAAAACGCCATTCTAAAACCCAAAAAAGCCAAACCGTAAACCCCAAACCTTAACGCAAAAACCCTGAACCCGAAACAGAACTCTTCAAGCGGGTTGGTCTGCGTTTCTGGAAGGGCCCTTCAAAAGCCACTCAGTGCGCCTTCGGTCCGGTCATGTGAGGTTTGATCTCACCTGCCGGTTTGGGGTTTAGGGTTTGGGTCTTTTCTCAAGGTGCAAGGGTTTGGGATTTAGGGTTCAGGGTTTGGGGTTTAGGGTTTGGGGGCTTGGGTTTAGGTTTAGGGCTCACCTGCCACAAGCATTCCTTTTTGAGGGGTTTTGATGTTTAGGGTTTAGGAGTTTTGCGGCTTAGGGGTTTGGGGTTTAGGGTTTCGGGTTCAGTCTAGAGTCTGGGGTTTAGGGTCCAGGGTATAAGGATTCTATGCAGGTCTCACAAGGTTTTATGTTACGTGCTCCTTGGGGTTTTATATAGGTTCTGATGTTTTTGCATATCGAGGTCTTCGAGAAAAACTCCAGAAGCGTTTGTCGAGTCCTATTCCGAGAAGAGCACAGGGGCTTCGGAATAGGGGGTTGATACTATACTAGACGAAACTATTCTATCCTGTACTGTACTATATTGTACTGTACTTTTATGTGCTTTGCAGGACTTTGCTGGACTATATTTTGCTATACCGTACTATACGGCACTTTATTGTACTATACTTACTGTTTTACTTTACTATACTACACGATTACTATACTGTATAGTCTGCTTCAATGTACTAGCTGGGAATACAGGTTTGGGTTTAGGCCGGAAGCCGCAGGGTCGAAGCACTCGAGCTTAGGGCGTAGGGATTTAGGGATTAGGGATTAGGGTTTAGGGATTTAGGGATTAGGGTTTAGGGATTTAGGTTTTAGGGTTTAGGCTTCGGGTCTTAGCAGGGCTGGGATGCGCCGGATCCTTCAACCACCGGAGACCTGAAACAACACGAACAGCAAGCCGTCAGCTCCTGCACCCTCGGGTTTAGGGTTCCAGGGGTTTAGGGGTTTAGGGGCTTATGGGTCTACGGGTGTAGGGGTCTACAGGAGTTTTGGGTTGAGGGTTCAGGTGTTTTGGGGTTTAGTGGTTTAGGGATTTCGGGGTTTAGGGGTTTACAGGGGTCTAGGGGTTTAGGGTTGAGGGTTCAGGTGTTTAGGGGTTTAGGGTTTAGGGTTCGAAAGCCTTGAGAGAGTTGTAGGGTGTCTAAGGATATCCCCTTGCAGCCGCAGCTTTGAGACAACCGACACCCACACCCCAGCCTGATGGTTCCGACCCCTACTTGGAGGATCAGGGGACTTAGTAAGTAGGGTTCTAAGTAAGGTAACTATAGTTATACCTACTTATAACCTCAATTATGGTACTTACTAAGTCCCATGATCCTCTAAGTGGACCCTAAACCCTAAACCCCATAGATCCCTCTAAAGAGCCCTATAGATCCCTTTAAGGGAGCCCTTTAAAGGAACCCTACTTACTAAGTCCCAGGACCCTCTAAGTAGAAACCTGGGCCTTCCAAGTTGCCGTGGCTGTTCCCCCTGAACCCTAAAACCGCAAACCCGAAACCGTAGACCCGAAACCAAGAAAGACCGAAACCCGAAACCCTAAATCCGAAACCCCAACGGAAAACCACGTCGCACAACCCTAAACCCCAAACCCGAAAGCCTAAGAAGGCCTTTGGGTGCCGTGCCCAGCGTCCCGTCCAGACGCGTGGCCATGCACCTCGAGGGAAGGGGGGCGACCCGGGAATCTTGTGAATTTTTGGTGCTTGTGGCGTATGGCTTTCCTGTGTTAGGGTTTGGGGTGTTCGGATTTTTCATGCCTTGGGTCTTCTGGCTTTAGGGCTTCGGGGCTCAAGCTTTTGGGCTTTAGGGTTTTATGGCCCCGGGTGTCGTGTGGCTTCGAGCAAGGGAGGGGGCCCTAGGGCCTAAAGGAAATTTGCTACTTAGAGGTTCAAGGGGCTAAATAGCCAGGGTTATAAGTTACAAGTACCTCACTATCGGTTACGAATAGATATAACTATAGTTTCCTTAATTTCCTTACTTTATATCTCTTCTTACTAGGTCCCCTGATCCTGCAAGTGCCTCAGCGACGTTGATCAGATCTAGGGCT